GTGCAGCTGCTAACCAGCTGTTTCCTTTCTATTGTGGTTCTTGTGAGCTCTCTGCTTTAAGTTTATACATCACTTGGGATTCTGAAGGATAATTAACTATTGCTTGTAGGTTCAAGGTAGTGGTTGGGATTTTGTTTGTTTTAGGTTTTTAGTTTAATCCAACATGTTTTAAATGGTTTCTCTTAATTGCTGTTATGAGTATGTGAATGTTTGTCGAAGCTTGCCCAGAATGGTCTCCATGTTCAAGTGAGGGAAAACGTTGAAAGTAATAATAGGCTAATTAAAACTCACCTCTCTCATCTGCCCTTCACTATTCTGCGAAACTTAGATGATTGCCTTAGTTCCCCACTTACCACTGAAGTTGGAGACTTCAACCCTGAAAGAAGAGACATTTATATGCCTACAAGTTTATACACAATAATAAACACTGTGTTCAGGTAACAGCAGCTTCAGTTATTTAGTGCCTTCACTGGCCTGATGGCAGAGTTTCACCAACAGGAGAAAATCCTTTGGTTTGTCACATTGAGTATGGCCTGGGGTTAGATAGATCAAGGAATTATAAACCAGAGACATATGGATAGTATATCAGTATTATTATTCAGGATTCACTAGCTACAGTGTTGAAACGTAATGGAGTATGTTTATATTTTTATTTTTATGATTAGCAGATTTAGATTAAATTATAATAATCAACACATAATATTTACCAAATGCTATTTAAGTTTTCTGCATGTATCAACTTATTAATCCTCTTGATAATTATTATCATAATAATCCTCTTGATAATAATAATAATTATTACTATTACCATCCTTGTCTTAGAGAAACTGAGAGAGAGAAACGTTAAGAACCTTGTACATGATCCTACAGCACGTAAGTGGCAGAGCTAGGATTTGAATGCAGGCAGTGTAGCTCTTTGCCCTGCACTAGACTGCCTCGAGCTGTTGCAAAAGTAAGTGTGTAATTAACCAGTAATAATTAACTAGATTCATGATTTCAAAATTCATCTAATGGCAAGTGCCTCTGTAATTCTTGTGTTTAGTATGTTTGATTGACTTCCCCCAAACCAGTTGAACACTTTTTCATGATTCCTAGGGACCGCTAGTGTGGGGTAGAAAAGCTTCTATCTAGAGGATCAGCCAAGTCAAAATGAGGGCATATCAGGGTGTACCAGGCAATGTCAACCAAATGCAGAGTGCATTGAGCTGAGATCACTAACTACATCAGGCTCCAGTAATTCAAAGGTTTCATAGGAACCACCTTTTCTAAAACCAAGGGCACAACTTTCATAATTCTTATGTGAATTTTTGCTAAATTTCAGAGCCTTTAAAGGTTATATCACCCTGATATTCCCTTAAATTAACTAGGTCAAAGAGCTGAGACCACAGAAGGGGCTCCCAAAATGTTTTTGCATGTTAGCTTTTGGATGGATAAATGGATGAATGGAAAAATGAAAGAAAGAGAACTGAAGTACATGCCATGGTTCATTGTGGCTGCCAGGCAATCTTTAAATGATTTTCTTTTTTTCATAGTTTTGTCCTCTCCTAATCCTTGATAGACAGGCAGGGAAGAGGGGCTGTAGAGAGAGGTAGTGCTATCCAGGTAGTTTTCTTTCTTCTTCTCAATCATAGTTGTCACAAAATATGGAAAAAATAATCTCCTTATTATTCTCGGTAAGGGGCTAGGAATAGATATAAGGAGGAATAGAAACTAGAATAACAATAACAATCACACAGTAGGTAAAATGAAATCACTGAGTTAACAACTAAGAACTAGGTACTGACAGCTTAATTTATGGGCTCTGCAGGCCATATTACTATAGGGTGGGTCCAGTCAGTATCTTAGAGCAAGGAACTCTGGCCAGAGTACTATGAAATACTTTACAAATCAATACTTACAGTTGAATGCAAAAGATTGATTATTTATACCTTTAAGATGTATACATAGTACATTGGTTTTCTTTGATTTAATATATACTTCTATATTACTTGGAAGAAACTGGTAGCTTTGACAATAGTTTTAAATAGCCAAAACAGGTACTAAATTAATAAGATGACAGCTAATATGTGCTTTACATAGTAGACATGCTACAAGTAATTGAGAAAATGTAGATGGACATGAATAGGTGGAGATGAACAGATGAACTCAGGGTGCCAAACTCTGAGATTCTACTGGGGAAGATTGAGGCTCAGCGCTCTGGGAAGGTGGAGTGAACTAATAAAATGTCATGCTGGGCTTCCCTCGTGGCGCAGTGGTTGGGAGTCCGCCTGCCGATGCGGGGGACGGGGGTTTGTGCCCTGGTCCGGGAGGATCCCGCATGCCGTGGAGTGGCTGGGCCTGTGAGCCGTGGCCGCTGGGCCTGGGCGTCCGGAGCCTGTGCTCCGTAACGGGAGAGGCTACAACGTTGAGAGGCCCGCGTACCGCAAAAACAAAAACAAAAACAAACAAACAAAAAAAGTCATGCTCAGTCATTGCTGAGATCCCAACTGAATGAAGTGAGTAGGTGAGGTTATTAAGGACTCAAAGATGAACAGAAACAGAGTCCTTTCTAAGGTGGCATACATGCCTTGGATGAAGACAAGGATGGTCAGTGTTTAACAAGTGAGGGAGAAGTGTTATCTAATATTAGGTGTTTTGCTGTCAGATCAAGAAATTAGGCAAGACCAAGGGACTGGCCCAGGCACAGGAGTACACAGGGCTGCCCTTAAGAGGTGATTGGAGCTAAACAGCATTTCCCACCAGAAAAACCAGAAAGCCATTTTAATACAAAGAGTCAGGGCTTTTCACTACCTTTTCTCCAATTTTCTTCACTTAATCTCTTTTTTTTTTTTTTTTGCTATACTTGGGCCTCTCACTGTTGTGGCCTCTCCCGTTGCGGAGCAAAGCCTCCGGACGCACAGGCTCAGCGGCCATGGCTCACGGGCCCAGCCGCTCCGCGGCATGTGGGATCTTCCCGGACCGGGGCACGAACCCGCGTCCCCTGCATCGGCAGGCGGACTCTCAACAACTGTGCCACCAGGGAAGCCCAGATGATTTTTTTTTTTTTTTTTGCGTTCACTTAATCTTTAAAAAGGTGCCTGTGACTGGAGATTTCATGGAGTCCACAAAGCCATAAATATCACATGCAACAGGATAAGTGTAAAATTTTGCACTTTAGCACTTTGCATGAAAATGCAATTTTAAAAAGTGAAATGAAGCATTACGTTAGGACTTTTTAGATCTAATTTTGATTCTGCCACAAATTAACTGTGTGACTCTTGGCACAAAATCTTTCAGATTCTTAATTTCCCTATCTGAGAAAGAGGATGTGGGATAAGACCATCTTTGGGATTCTATCTGGATTTAATTTTATAGTTTTATAGTTTAGAGACTTTCACTGAGTACAAATTCAACATGCAGCAATGCTGTGACATATGATGCCCAAAATCTAATTCATTAGGAGAAATACAGAGACTAGATCATCCCACAGTATTCAACACTAGTCACTTTATTTGGCTGGACAATCAAGTTCTGGCTGCCATATATTTGGAAGGATATGGGAAAATTAATAGCGCATCTGGAGGAGGGTGACTGAAGTGGTTATGATTCTGGAAACAGTATTATGGAAAAAAATTGTAAGATGAGCTAGGGCTTATTATCCCAGGCCAGAGAAGAAGGAGGCTCCCAGTAACTTTCTACTAATATCTCTTCTTGAAGCTCTAGGGGGAAGGTTATAAGATTTTCCTAAAGGCTACATAAAAATAAATAAAAGAGGGCTTTCTAATGATTAAAGTTCTTTAGTAATAAATTGGATTGCTTTGTGATGAAGCTATCTCCCTCACAAGGGTAGTGTTTAGGGAAAACTTGAACGACCATGTCTGTCTGGGTGGAAAGCTGGATCTGATGACCTTGAGGGTCCCAGGCACTCAAACTTACTTCCATCCTACGATTTTCTGAGTACTGATGTTAGTTTTGAAATTACAATAAAAAATTCACATGCTAGTGTCAGCCATGACTAATTTTTAAGGCATGCTAACTAGCTATTTTTTGATTAATCAGAAATAAAATAAAATAACCAGAAATAAGTTTAAAGTTGTCAAAACTCAGACAATTCCATTCAGGTCTAAATAAGAAAAGTATAAGAAGCTGCAACATAACCTAGAACCTCTAGGTTCTCACCAGCTCCTCTGCTTCTTTCTTTTACAAGTGTTTCCCTAAGCACATCCCTTTCCCGTTTTATCCTGTCTTGGTGTCTGCTTCTTAGATGGTCTGAACTGACACAGGAATAAACACACAATAAATATTAGCTATTTCATTTAAATTTTAACTATTTTACTCTTCCCTCTATGACTCCAAATTAATTTTCTTTCTTTCTGTGAACAGTTTCCTTCTGTCGATGGATATAGAGTTAAAGTGAGTTGGAATTTTATGTTATTTTCTAATGGAAAAGTGGAAGTGATCTTCCTGTTGGTTATAAAACAATTCGTTATTTTAGGAGGAAGATAATTTAGAATTGAAGAATTTTAAGAAGAAATGAACGTTTTAAGTGGAAGTATTTCATATCACTTAATCTTAGACCTCATATCTAACTGGACTAGTAAAATCTACACTGGTGTGTACAAGATCACTATTTAGCTGTAGACATGACTTTCAGGAGGGCCAGCCGAAGGGAAGTAGAGAAAGTCAAACACCTGGCCAGGCAAAAGTCCCTCCACTGTCTAGATTTGCTGTCAGCTCCTCCTCTGTCTCTTCTGCTAGCATGTCCAGCCAATGTATGCCAGATGACCCAAAGCCAGGAATTTCCTGCAAGGTAGCAGAGGGACAGGAAAAACCATGTGCTTCCTGGTTTTGGAGGTGGCACAAGGCTGTGGAGCAGCCAGTAAAAGCAAACAGCCAAAGTGGGAAGGGATTTGGTAACCTTGTCAACAGAGTTTTGCTTTTCAGCAGAATGACACAATCACTTGTCAAATTTCAGTCTGAACTCAATTAAGAACTACTGGGAACACACTGCAGAGTATTTACTTTCAAGGATACAGTTTAATAGAGAGGACAACTACAGACTCAGTCAGGGGAGACAAACAGAAATAGACCCAGCCTTTGCTGCCTTAGAGTGTGGTGGGCTCAGGAGTGATAAGCAGACATTATTTTGCTCTGGACTCAGGTAAGGCTATTCAGGAATCTCTTCACTGAGGAGAGTCTTGAGAAGAGTTGAGGAGAAACAGAATGACATTATGTTTTAGGTGGAGAGAAGGGTGCAGTCATTCTAGTTCAAGGGAACTGCTGTAGACCATAGCTGTGAGGCAGAGAGAATGATTTGTGAATAGGGCTCAGGAACTTGGGTAAACCTTTGAGGTTCTTAAACATGGTATAAAACACCATATAGCAATAAGTAGAGTGAGGCTATAGGAAAAAAAAATATATTTCAATTATTTAAACAATAATTATAATTATTTCAATTATTTAAACATCTCTCTCTTTTATCCTAGTAAGAGGTCATATAATATAAAGATTAAAGGCAGGAATTGGGATGCAGCGTGGATATGAGTTACAGTTCTCTCACCTATTAGTCATGTCACCTTAGGAAAGTTACTTAATCTTTCTGAGCTTCAATTTCCTCATGAGCTAAATGGAGGTAAATAATAGTCCCTATTACAAGGATTCTTGTGAGGATAACATGAGATGAGGTATGTACGATGTTTAGCACGGTGCCCATAATATTTTGTGGAGGCCCAGATTCAAAAGTGACCAACTAGAGGAGTTACTGAGGCATCTCGGCACAGTCTTGCTTACAAAAATGGACACACGTGACTTTTAGAAATTTTTATTAAAATTAGTAATTTATGATGGCTTCATCAAAATATAGCATTAATATAATCAGCTTTTATTACATAATGCAGTTTATATTTTCAACACAAGGATATCAAAAGGACAAAAAGATTTTCTGCATTCTGAATTAGAGCTTTCATCTGCTAAAAACGTTTTATGACTAAGAAACAGAGATGATTATTTTCACATGAGAGGGGCTCAATAAATAACTTTTAAAATGAATAAATCCACCCATTTAGTCAACAAACATTTTTTTAGTGATACATCTATAAAAAAATAATGTAGGGTGATGTGAGAGTGAGTGGGTTGTGTGTGTGTGTTGGAGGGGTGGTGCTCTGCAATTTAGATTGGGAGCTCGTCCTAAAGCTTAAGTTCTCAAATTGCTTGAAAACTGCAATTCCTATTAAGTATGTTTAAATTAAAAGCCGTCATTAGATGTATAATAATATTTCAAATTTAAATTAAACATTTCCTTCTGGAAAGTTAAATTTTGTTTATTTTAGGGTTCATAGACTTCTCCTGCTGTTTTATTTTCCTTTCATTTGAAAATGAAATCAGGGGAAAAAACAAAGTTACTTTCAGTAATTGAAGGTAAATCCTTAAGCATGGATTTTTCTCCCTTTGGCTAATGTTTCATTGACCTCTACAATAATGGCATTTCTAGAGTGTCAACCAAGTGATTACTCTGGACTCTCCCCAGCTGATTTTCATTGACACTATCAGAAACTGTCAAGAACTCTTTGGATTATTATGAGTTTTTGTGTTTGCATAGTAGTTAATTTGCAATAATACACTGTTTTGTTGAATACTTGATGTTGACTTGCTGATGATGTCCTTTTTTATAAAGCATTTCCCACATGGAGTAGAATACATGCCTGAATTCTCAGACTCATCCATTCATTTACGAATTTATCATGTGACTATCATGTGCCAAGTGCTTGTGATATTAGGTTGAATCCTATGCAACTGTTGATACTTCAGCTTTTATTGCCTAAAATATAAAAAATTTAATATGGTTCAATTTATTAAAAAACAAGTTCTGCTTTAAAGAGCTTGCAATAGAATATAAAGTTTTAGATGTATAAACAAATGAATGCCTTTAAAAATTTTATTTACCTCTGATTAGAAATTTTGTGGCCATGGAAATGTAAAATTCTATAGGTCAAAAGTATTTCTGTGTAATGACACTGTTTCTCTGGTACCCAGTCTCATTTAGAGGAACTTGTTTTCTATGTTAAGCATCCGAGAGTAACAAATGATTTCTTAATCCCTGTGCTGTACCATAAAGAATCACTTATTTGTCCACTTTGTTGAAATCTTAAAAGCTAATTTAGAATCAGAATTAAAGTGAAGAGTTGAATAGTAGCCCAGGTTTTGTCCTGCTTGGAAGAAGTAATTAATCTTTAACTTTCCGTATCCCTACCTACCCTCTTTCAAAAGGACAAATAATTTCCCTTACCAGATACCTTCTAAATGCCAGAGCTTTCATAATACACACTGACATGGTTCAGGAAATTAGAATGGTGCTAGAATGGGGAGCGACATGTACGTGCTTCAATTCAGAGGTTTTTTTCCCCCCTCTTTTTAATTGAAGGGCTGATAAGAGCAGTGGCATATAGATTCTGTTCTTATTCAAAGCCTGATTGTGGTTATGATTCCTGGCAAATATGTCCATCACTACAGAAATCCACAAAGGGCTTTGACTTGTTGACCTTATTTAACAACCTTAAGAGACTTCAGAGTGCTTGGTGCCTTGGGGACAGGGGGAGCGGAGAAGGATAGTGGGAGGGGGTAAGGAGGGAAAGGAAGGCGAGGGATATGAATGTTGTAAAATGCAGTTATTTCAAACCTGAAAGTTTCATTTTTAGTTTACACTTAGGCGTTGTTATGTAATGGAGAGAGCACAAATTAAAAGTTAGAAAGAGGGCTTCCCTGGTGGCGCAGTGGTTGAGAGTCTGCCTGCCGATGCAGGGGACGCGGGTTCGTGCCCCGGTCCGGGAAGATCCCACATGCCGCAGAGCGGCTCGGCCCGTGAGCCATGGCTGCTGAGCCTGTGTGTCCGGAGCCTGTGCTCCGCAACGGGAGAGGCCACAATAGTGAGAGGCCCGCGTACCACAAAAAAAAACAAAAACAAAACAAAAGTTAAAAAGATGGGGTTCCAGTCTGCTAACCCTAACCCTCCTTCCCCATCACAAGCCTATCTTCCTCTGTACCCACTGCTCCCTCCTTCTCCCACTGCAGTGGAGGAGGTGACCATCCTTGCCACAGGGCCAGTCTTCCCACCGTGCTCAGAATTCCATCCTTTTCTTATCCTCTATAATCCTTTTTCTCTTCTATCTCTTCACTTTCTCTAAGGGATCCTTCCTGTCAGCATTTAAACCTGTACAAGTCTTTTGGTTTTAAAAAGTCTCTTCATTCCCTCCAGTTACAACCCCAGCTTTCTTTACCTTTACCTGCACACAACAAATAGCATAGAAAGAAAACAGTTGTCTTTACTCAATGGTTCCATTTCCTTAGCTCACATTTGTTAATTAACCTTCCTCTGAAAGGGTAAAGTTTCTTTTTTAACATCTTTATTGGAGTATAATTGCTTTACAATGTTGTATTAGTTTCTGCTGTATAACAAAGTGAATCAGCTATGCTATACATATATCCCCATATCCCCTCCCTCTTACGTCTTCCTCCCACCCTCTCATCCCACCCCTCTAGGTGGTCACAAAGCACGGAGCTGATCTCCCTGTGCTATGCGGCTGCTTCCCACTAGCTATCTATTTTACATTTGGTAGTATATATATCAATGCTACTCTCTCATTTCAACCCAGCTTACCCTTCCCCCTTCCCATGTCCTCAAGTCCATTCTCTACATCTGCGTCTTTATTCCTGTCCTGCCCCTAGGTTCTTCAGAACCTTTTTTTTTTTTTTAGATTCCATATATATGTGTTAGCATACGGTATTTCTTTTTCTCTTTCTGACTTACTTCACTCTGTATGACAGACTCTAGGTCCATCCACCTCACTACAAATAACTCAATTTCGTTTCTTTTTATGGCTGAGTAATATTCCATTGTATATATGTGCCACATCTTCTTTATCCATTCATCTGTCAATGGACCCTCAGGTTGCTTCCATGTCCTGGCAACGAACATTGTGGTACATGACTCTTTTTGAATTATGGTTTTCTCAAGGTATATGCCCAGTAGTGGGATTGCTGGGTCGTATGGTAGTTCTATTTTTAGTTTTTTAAGGACCCTCCATACTGTTCTCCATAGTGGCTGTATCAGTTTACATTCCCACCAACAGTGCAAGAGGGTTTGAAAGGGTAAAGTTATTAATCACTTCTCTGATCAATGCTAAGTCCAGCACACATTATTAACATTTCATATCACTTGACCTCCTACCAAAGTATAATAATCATTCCATCCTGGTGGAAACCTCTACTGCCTTGGTTGCCATGAAACTAGAGCCTCAGATTTGCAGCTAACTCTCTACTTGCTCCTCATTCTCCTTTAACCGTGAATCCTCATCCATCTGATCTGTAAACACTGAACTTCAAGCTTCAATTCTAGACCTCTTCTCTTTTCCCAATATCAACCTTATTCAATAGTTTTCTGGTCTGAGGGAATCCCAACATAAAAATTATTATTCCTACATGTCCTGGTAAATTAGCATGATCAGTAAGTTGTAGATATAATAAACCAATAATAATGTTAATTCTCTTTGAGGAGAGAATGATAGTTTTCTATGGATATGTTTATTTTGACCAACTTATTATCAGCCTATTCATTTTGTGCAGTTGCCCTTCTCACTGAAGATACCAACTTGAAGGGTCATAGAGGAAACTTTAGTGTTTTCTTTTTCTTTTGTTATTTACAACACAAAGATTTATTGTCAATGCTGAATAGTAAACTTCCTAAAATCATAAGCCAAAGCAATATATATAAAATGTAGCTTAGGATATATATACGAAACCCAAAATATTTTATATAAGACTTTGACAAAATATTTTCTTTCTGAGTGGCATGATTAGATTCAAATATAAGCCTAGCAGTTACAATATTATTATGCGATGTGTTGGTTTCTTGATCTCTTTAAAGGCCTGTATTTGGATTAAAAAATTATTTAAACAGAAAAGAAGGAATGAAATTTACATATGTAATGTGAAATTGTGCTTGTTTTCTGCCTCGAAAATACACAATTCTGGATCAAATTTTTGAGACAAGCATACATGTATTTCATTATTAACTGTAATTAGACAACTGCTGTCTTTGTTTTTGATGCTGGTTAAATAAGAAACACTCATAAATGAAAGAAGTTGAAACCATGGCAAAATGTTCAT